TGCTACAGTGGTGAAAGTTGATGATTTTTAATGCAGAAAACCCTACTGATAAATATGTAAACTCTGTGCATTATATTTCAACCATTTGTTCAAAGTGTTATATTTGTCATAGAATGCCCCTTTAATTAGTACCAAATTAATGCAAATACAATTGAAATTTCACATGTAGTTTATTTTCAATACATTATACTTCTGAACTAAGTGTTTGAATTGTTTGAAAACTGTCTTTCACCCACTGTTTAAGAAAATGGAGCTTTTAATTGGTATTTCCAAGCATATATAAAGAAAATTTATATTTTGACCCCAAAAGCTGTTTATTACCTTTTTTAAACTACTGAGAATTATATTATTTGCAAATGTTTCCAAATGATGCTACTCCAAGTTTGATGTCAATACACTGTTTAGTTCTCCAGTTATGCTGAAATTACTCAATTTTGGCTGTTTCCTGTACAAATTCATCAATTATCAATAGTCAATATTTACTTCAAGGCAATTTTTGGTCGGTCATATTTTCAAAAGTGAATATTTTGAGACACTGAAATTAAATAGCAGTAATATATGGCCAGACATGGTGTAGAATCTGAAGTTTGGTGGTAGTAGGTGCTTTACTTCTTGATTTATGAGTTCTCAAATATGGCTAATTAAGCATTTTTGCATTTTCCCAGAAATATGGCGCATATTACACAGCATTAAATTAATCGTAATTTCAAAAATATATGGAGTTTTTAGACAAGTGAGGTATCAGAATCTTTCTTTTTATGAGTACAACAGCCTCAAACTAAAAGAAATCCAGTTCTGTACACTTCGAAAAATACCACTGTGACACCTAATAAAACTTCCAGTCTGATGACGGCATCAGCCCCAAACTTCACACACGTGTTGACTGGGAAAAGATGGTTATCTACATCAATTTTCAGGCAATTCGGACAAACTCCGCCACAGACGTCTATTCAAAATTCCTTTTTTTTTAATTTTTAACCTGTCGCTTGAGGGCGCTCGACATCTACAGAAAGGTGACGTCATCAGTAGATGATTTGAAGAATACTATACCCCAACAGACTAACACCATTGAAAACAACTTGATACCAACATGTATTACCAATTTTAACAAATAAGACCACTTCCGGTTTCATCCGGAAGGAAGAATCACGTGATCTGACCCACACGAGATGAATTCAAGACCACATTTTATCCTGCCACTTGCTGCAAACAGAATGTTGCGGGAGGCCACGGTAGATGTTATATATGGATTTTTATAAATTTAATGGAATATGTAAATATTCAAAATTTAATAATACATAATTTGATGATGTCCAGGGTTCTGCCCAGGATGGTTTTAGTGCCGGCAGGACTATCTAAGCGGAGCGCCACCATCGGTTGGCGCGGAACGTACCAGAAAATTTTTGGAATCTAAAAGCCCCCAGATGGCCAGAAACAGCACTTTCTGGGTGTTTTCAGCTGTGTATACACAGCCTAGAATTAGGGATCTCATGTCTGAAATTTCTGAAATTTTATAAAAAAATTTGAAAATTTGTAATTTTGGTCAACTAGGGTGAGGTGATAATTTTAGACGGGCAATTGAAATAAAAAAAAGAGTAGAAATAAATATTGATTTTATTCTGTAAATCCCTTAAATATTGAATTAATTTCTATCTCTATGATGCCCATAATTTTTCATTGCTATTCAAATCATTTTTCATTTTTTTTTTTGTGTGTTGAAAATAAGGGGAAACATGCAAAATCTTGGCGGAATATTTTCCTTATTTTCTTTGTACGAATGTTCGTACAGTATGCATATGGGATAACGACATTCATAAATGAGTGCAGGGATTTTCTGAACAGTCATTTCAAAGTCTACATGAACATAATGTAGATTGGCCATTTGCTTTTCTGACACATCTGGCCATGTGTCACGTGTATACTGAGCGCGTGTATCTTGCCATATGGAAATCGTTTACGGAAAAGGCAAAATCATGCTGTTACTTTTGAATAAAAAAATTGCGGAGTTAATATTTTCATCGTGGGATAAACAACAATTAACGAATGCGGTGCGATCGCTGGTTTAAAAAACGATCGCAGTGATTGTTTTATGCAACATCGAGCAGAAAATACATGCACCAAATGTTGCTAACCGTGGTCGGTGCAGCGAAAAACAGTCACGGTCGATTGTCAGTTTTGCAAGTACATGTAAAATTGTTTTTCTGCCAGATTTTTAAGTGTTTAAACGAAGTGTGAATGGGGTCATTTGCAATTTTGTCTTTCTGAAAGTTAAGCCAAATTTTCTTTTCAAGTTGTGGAACTGGGTAAAATGCGGAACTGGATAAACAACGCTGTACATCATGGAGAGGGAGTTTTCCGATCTTCGCGCACTGAGAGCGTTGCATATGCAAGCCTATGTGTGGCCTTCCAACCAATGGAAAGATTCATTACGCACTATGTACACATGCATTGCGCGTAACAAAGCCTCCTATTGGTTCATGTTAATATTTGGTCCAGATATGTTGCATATGCACGTACGTGGGTGCGCAGATGATACGCATGGCAGTGCAAAGTGAAATTTACGAAGAAATGTTACGGTTTCTTCATGATCTTCATATCTTCATGATCGATCCCTCGACCAAGATGCTACTTTATTTGGGTTCTTATCGGGAATACGTGCCGGTCGGAAAAGTTGATTTGGCAGATTGTGGCTGTCGGCAATTCTGCGTGCCGGTCGGGCCCGACCGGCGCCGACCGGCAGCGGCAGATCCCTGTGTGCTGTGCTTATAAATGTACACCTGGCATGGAGCAAAAAACCGTTTTGGAAAATAATGTTTGGTTTCCCGTAAAATCAAATTTGAAATTTGATATTCTTTTTGGCTTATAATAAGGACCCCTGAAGCTAAATACTATAAAATATCCTAAATGCTTAACTAATCCCTCTGAATAGTGTATAATTGCAAAGGTTTGGAGCCATACATGTAGATGCTTGTGTCAGAGGCACTTCCTTCCTCTGGATAGGGTACTTGAGAGAGAAAACTACAAAATTTGGGTTGATCTAGCTGTAATTACGTTACCAAAAAGTTGCAGAAGTTTTTCTCCTGGCCTCATTTCTTTCAGAATTATTCCACCATTGTGAATTCTCTTCCTTAATCTGCCTACTAATAATCTCAAACACTAAATTCTCAAATATAAATATTTACTCCTATGGAAACATTGGTAACGGAATTACATGGGGTAACGGAATTCCATTGCAGAATCATGTATGTCTTGAGGCTGTGTTTGGTCAAAGAGGGCAGCAATCACAATTATGTTTCTTTGTTTTACATGTACCACTAGAAGACAGCAATTTCTGACTTATTTGCATATGCACATGGTAACTTCCCTCCATACATTGCACATGCATCTACAAGACTACAAATTGGGTGAGTATTCAATTCATTAAAATCCCGAGGAGCAGTTTCTTTTCACAATGGTAATCTCAATAAGTGATCACTTAAAAAGTACTTGAATCAATGATCATACTCATTACAAAATGCATTCTTTTGCACTGTCACTTAAGCATGCTGTACATACACAGGCTTACTTGCAGTGTACATGTATGACATGTGCAGCACTGATGTACTCGGACATAATTATAGTTTATTTCAGCATTATATTATTTGATGTTATTACACGTACTCTAGTCTAAAGAGCTTATTATGCTATGAAGGCACCGGGTGTAATAATTATGTAAGTTTACAGATTTTGTTGACTATTTAGGGCAACGCTTGAAAAAGTACCACATAAAAAATTTTGAGGTACTTGTAATTATACATGTAAATGTAATGAGCTCAAGGTAATTACTTAAAATTATTTTTGAATTCCTATATAAAGAGGGCTCGTTAAAATAATCATCATTCATATCAGCCTTTTTGAAGGGGAGTATGTACATGCATAGGCTATGTGCTCAATCTACAAGTTTGAGTAAAAATAACACAGCCGATCAATATCTTTTCTTTGTTCCTAGGTACACTGTACACGTAAAATGCCTCTCACAGCAAAAGAAAAGATGCGAGCATACATGGAGCGTGTAAAGCAGGACCCTGACAAAGTTGAACAGTGAGGGAGAAGGACAGAAACAGAAAGTCTGCTGAAAGTGCAAGAATGACTCCGTGTGAAAAGCTCATGCAGAAAGAGCAAAATCAAAAAGCTGTGGCAATACATCGTGCTGAGAAAAAGGTGATGTCTTTGCCTCCTGCAAAATGTGCACGTACTCCATGTCAAATTCAATTATTTGAATTATGAATTTAGTGCATGTTCCATTCGGGTCACCTCAAGCCTTGGGAAAAGTCAAGCAGAAGGTGAAAGTTTTGCCACATTCTGTGAGGAAAAGAAAAGCAGTGGTTGAAGCACTCGTTGTTGATGCGGGGCTGTCTTCCAAGACCATACAAATGACAATAATTGATGATGGTGAGAGTAGTGCTGGGAACCGTTGCATTAGTGATGAGACAAAGGAAAAATTGATTTCTATTTGACAACATCATGGTTGTGTCCTGGACAGAAAGACACATACATAATTCGAGCACCTGGAAAAGAAAAACAGACTTTACAGAAGCATTATATGCTCACTACACTCAAAGAAGCCCATGCTATGTTTCTGGAAGAAAACCCAACCCATCACATTTCATTTTCCACGTTTGCTGAACCCAGACCAACACAAGTCTAGTTGCAAGGGGGCATACCACACAACTCCTGCCTTTGTAAACATCATGAGAATGTGCGCCTGCTCTAACAATCCTTGAGTAAGGCAGGCCCTCGGATTCCAACTGATTTTCGCAGTTTTCTTACCCCGGTTGTATGTGACCAAAATAGTGAAAATTGCGATGAATGCCCAGGGATGGGGAAACTTGCTCCTCCTGATGACACTGCTGAGAAAAAAATAAGTTGGCAGCAGTGGGATGGGAAAGCAAATCGACATGTGTTCGAAGGAACTGTAGCAGACTGCTTTCAGGAGCTGGTGGAAAAGACATCTTTACTTCATGCAACACACATTTGTGAAAAGAGTGCAAGCTGACGAGTTCAAAAAAGAAAAGGCGTGCGTGAAGGATGATCCTGATAAAGTTGTCATTCAGGTAGACTTTGCTGAGAATTTCACCACCAAGATGCAGAATGAGATCCCATCGGCTTACGGGGACTACAAGCGGGTGACTCTTTTCACAGATTGTGCATGGGAGAAGAATGGAATCCATTCCATGGTAGTTATGTCAGACTACCTCCATCATGACAAATATGCAGTCAACAAATTCCTCAAAACAATATTCAAATGGCTTGACGAGGAGGTCCGTCACTTTGAGAAGATAGTTATGTTTTTCAGACGGTGCAGCACTAGCCAGTTCAAACAGAGATATCTCCTCTGCAGCCTTACACTAATGCAGCGAGACATTGTACGGAATTTCTTGGTCATGGTAAAGGTTCTGTGGATGGTATTGGGGGAACAGCAAAAAGGAATGTAGCAAGGGAAGTAATGAGCTGCAAGGCCGAAGTACAAACATCTCAGCAACTTGCGGATGTTGCAAAAGCTACCCGCCCAAATATCACAATCATCCACATGGACAAAGTCACAGTTGAGAATACCATCCAAGAGTTTAACCCTCCTATGCTGAAGTCACTCTTTGGGTCATTTGGTGAACACCTCAAACAAGCACAGCTGTGTTGTGTTGTGCGCTGCACCAACAGTCCCTCACAGGAATATCAGATTGCAACTGTGCTTCACTGTTTCATGTGCAC